AGAGAGGAGAGAGGAGAGAGAGTCTGTATATACATATGGATACCACATTATACAAAGAAATAGAAATTAATTAATTAGAGGTCCCATCTCAGGATCTTTAATCCATACCAAACTACCATGCTCATAAGAGGTAAATTCTAGAAACTAATATTCACTGTTCAATATTGAAAACTGCTTTATTTTAACTTGGATAACAACTCAGCCTGGCTTGCGGTTACAGCAGAGGCTACAGTCCCATTATTTTGAAAAGAGCACAAGCTTTTTATTCATATATAAAAAGAAAGCAATACCAGGTTTGAAGCAGTTGAAGGCTATAATTTTTGTCCTAATCAAGGGTTTTTAAAAAGAAACATGCTAAATCTCCAGTCATTGAAAACAGATCTTTCCCAGGGTTGCTCTTACCCAAATTTTTCTTACACATGCAGTTAATCTTTGATGTGCTGCTGTACTGGAGGCAATTTCTGTCATGATTCCCACCCACTTCCCAAACAATCTCTACAGCCAAAGGAAAACTTACCTCTGCAAAATGTGTTGATGTGCTATTGTCTATCCGGCTGCTACCACCACCTAAAAAACTAAAGAGAAAAAGTAATAGTGGTAATTCTATTCCCAGGAACAAGCTCCCTTCCCAGAAGCTAAATATAGAATAGCAAAATGAGAACAAAGCTCAATAAGGAAAAGCAACTCATCCAAGAGGTCACGTATATTATGAAGACTGGCGTACAGTTTCACCTGTGAAAATATCTTAACAAATAAAACAAATCAATAAAAATGAAATGTCATTAACAAACCAAAAACACAAGTGGTTTTCAAATGAATTAAGGCTAAATCTAATGGAAATTTAAGGAGAAGGACCACCACAAAGAAAGGACTCACAGCCAGTAATGCAATTCTAATTTAGCCTAGCAAAAGAAGAAAAATAAACATTTATCCTCAAAGAGGATAGTACAAGCAAAATGTTTTCACTACTAAAAAAGCAAAATGTTTTCACTACAAAGCCATCTAAACAGATAGAAGCTCATAATATCTGGGGTTAGGATCTCTTGGGAATTATGAAATGTATAGAATAAGAGATTATAGAAATTAGCACAGAAAAATACTCAAAATTTCATCTTCCAATACATATCCTACCCACCATTCAGAGCTACCTCCTCCATTAAGTTGCTTCTGAACTCACCAACCAAATGTGACTCCTTCATATCTCTGTATTCTGGTTTGGTCCTAAATTCTATCTTGTACTATAAGTAATTAGGATTTGCCTCAACCATTCCAACTCTTTTGCCCTTTCATAAATATAAACTGAAAAGGTAAAGACTGTATCTTGTTATATCTATATATCTATTGGTATATAGATATATAGAGTGTCTATTATGTGTCAGACATTATATAATACTGTACTCCTCACCTTTGGAAACCTTGCAATGCCATATCCTACATTGGTAACCCAAAATAAAAGTTGCTGAATTAATAGCACATATCTAAATGATATTCTTGAAGACTTACTCTCAAAGATCCTGAAAATAGGAAGAAATTTATAGGGAAGAAACTGTAACACTTTTGAAAAAGGAAGATAGAATGTATGGTGGTTTGAATGAGAATGTTCCCCATAGTCTCCAAGTATTTGGACATTTTGTCCCCAGTTGGTAGCACTGTTTTGGGGAATCTTAAAAGGTGTGGCCATGCTGGGAGCACATCACTGGGGGTAGGCTTGGAGAGCTCTTAAGTCTTGCCAGATCTCTAGTCTCTAGTCACTCTCTGCTTCAGCTCCTACCCCAGCCACTTCTGCTGCCATGCTTCCCCTTTGGAACCATAAGCTAAATAAACTCTTCCCCCACTTTTTTTTTTTTTTTTTTTTTTTTTTTTTTTTTTTTTTTGGTCTTTTTGAGACAGGGTCTCTCTGTAGCCCCAGATGGCCTGAAATTCACTGTGTAGACCAGGCTGACTGTGAACTCACAGAGTGCTGGGATTAAAGGCGCACACCACCACACCCAGAAAACTCTTCCTTTTATTAGTTCCCCTGGTCAGAGTGTTTCTATCACAGCAACAGAAAATACAGAATGAATCACAAAAAATGCTAGATACCACTTAGACAAACAAGTACAAAAGCATACATACAAACATCCCAGTCATAAAACCTTCCAACTACCACAAATAACTTTTAGTTTCCGATTTACAGTGTCGATCCAGGTTCCTAAGCTCTCTAACGACATAAATACACCCTGGTTGGTCTAAAACCAAAAGTGAAAAACTAATGCTATCCTTTCTGTAATCATTCTCAGATCTTACTCTCAGATGAGAAACCATTTAATACTTGTATTTGGATGAGAAGTTAAAACTATTTCTAAAATTATTTCAATTGTATAACAAGGTATTTGTACATCTGTACTAAATAATCAAACTACCCGATTCCATCACGAATGGCCACACAGATATTTTATTGTCCAACTCTAACAGGCCTCTAAGGTTCTTCCTTCTTGGTTTGGTTGCTTGATTTTTAGTGAGCGTGTGTGTGTGTGTGTGTGTGTGTGTGTGTGTGTGTGTGTGTTGTGTGTGTGTGTGTGTGGTTTAATTTTTGAGACAGGGTCTTACTTTGTACCTCAAGCTGGCCCTGATTTGGTTTAATTTTTGAGACAGGGTCTTACTTTGTACCTCAAGCTGGCCCTGAACTCAAAATGTAGCCCAGGATAACCTCAAACTCATGATCCTCCTGCCTCAATCTTCCAAGTACTGGGATTATTAGGTGTGTGCCATCATGCCTGGCTTCTTTCCTGCCTTTATTACATGATTCCAGGATTTCATGAATTCAAATACTAGAAATTCATCAACTCTTTTAGGATACTGCTCCCCTGAAACTTCCTCAACATTCCCTTTCTTTAAAATTCCTTTGCACTTTAAGCGTGACAGAACTAAACATAGAGAAGGGATAATAAAAACAGCAATGTTCTGGTAAAATTTACAAAGCCTCAGAAAATTTACAAGATGCCCCTCTACTGTGTGTAGAAGCAGATGGGGTCCAATGTCTTATATTTACATGCAAAGACTTCCTCTTATTAATTTTTTTCTAGTACTGAGGATTGAGCCTAGGACCTCAAATTTGATAGGCAAGTACTCTATCACTGAGCTACTCTCCTCTTTTTACTTTCTATTCTGAGAGAAGGTCTCACTAAGTTGCCCAAGTTGGCTTGTGAACTCTACACCCCAGGTAATTCATGATTCTCCTGCCTCAGCCTCCCCAGTAACTGGGACTGCCAGTTCACAGCACCAGGCTCAGTTCCTATAAATTCTTACCATCTATTACTAACCACTGTAATTGCTAAATACTGAAAACAGCAAACACTTACAAATTTTATAGAAGGGAATAACACACTGCCTCAAAGAGATTGATTCTAAGAAAATGATTTCTTCCCTCATTTAAAACACTGACCTTAAAATCCAAAATAGTTACATTTGGATAGTTGTTACCAATAACATCTATACAAGACAACTTGGACCTGACCTAGAGAGGCACAAATAAAAGGATTAAATGAAAACAGAATTCATAGTTCCTGGCTAGAAAAATACTCATCTTGCAGTTAATCATTATACTCATTTATAACTCTACTCTGCATAAAAGTAGTATATGCCTAAAGAACCAGGATTACTATTTTAAAACTTACAAAGAAAAACTCAGTTACTCCCCTATAACCAATATACTCTTCACTCAACACATGCAGAGCATTAGTGCTTCAAATAAGTATGTGATGCAATTATAACAGCTCAAATAAAAAGCAATTCCAAGTTAGCATGCTAGCCACACACTGCTAATTTTGTTGTCATGCTAATCTTACAGGCATAATACTGATAATACTGGTATTGTTATTGAAAACTAAAATTATTACACCAACATCCAAGTGTTTGTACCAAACTATATCCCATGCCACATATTGCCCCAGAAGCTCCAGTTCATTGCACACAAATTCACCAACCATTAGTTAGCAAAACTAACAGTACATACTTTAAAATGTGCAGTTTTTCCTGGTTGTGGAAGAGACCTTCGACTTTAGATTCTGCCAACAGTAATGGTAAAGAAATTACCTACTGTTATTAAAATCCTCAAAGTCACTTCAAAACTAAGAAGCTTCAGATTACAGATTCTTTTAAATAAGTTGGTACTTCTTTAATAGTTCAACCAATGTTTGACCAGATGACCTCAAAAGAACAAATGTGCCATTATGTTTGGGTGTGGGGGGAAGCCAGTAACAGTAATCAGTGCTTTTCTAGAATTAAGTTATTACAGTTTTATTCATACCAACCAAGAAATATATTGTCACTTTGAGAAAGCATTTCTTCTTTTCATCAATCTTATACCTTTACTAAAGCCAATGAGAAAAAACAAATATTACCATGATAGCAGCAAGATGGCAAAGTCTGACAGCAACAATCTTAATATGAACAAGGGATCTGTGGCTTTCTCAGGGCTGAGAGACAACAAAGTTTCCCTGGTTAGAATACTGTTTGTTAGCTTGGTAGAATCCTCATCGGAAGTTACTGCATAACTTACCCAATATGTATAACAGCAATTAAACTTCAGGCAACAGAGTAATTACTAAAACTAATAATCCAAGAGAATCCCAGAGTCTACACAAACAAATAAAAATGTAGCAGGTTTATTCTTCTATGGCTACGGAGGTTTTTGGGTGACACACAATCAGGACCAGTGGATCTCATCACACTATCGTATCACTTTCCAAATTTTCCCTTTCTTTTCCCTCTCCTGTTCTTCTGTCTCTTGTGTGTGTATGCATGCATACACATATGCATGCATACTCACACACACATTCCTCCTAGCAGAGTGTAAGTTATGAAACAAATTCCTTCCAATCCATTAGGTCAACACTAAGAGAAATAGTTTTGATAATAGAATGTTTGATTTATTCATGAGTTTATACAATACCTTGAATCATCTGTCACTTCCTCAATAAAGCCTGATTCACATCGAGGACATATATATTCCTATAAAAGAAAAGAAGAAATAAATAAAAGTTTTGCATTAGAAACCTAACCATTAGTTTTTTAATACCATGAAGTATAGAAACTGCTTAATCGGGCTGGCAAGATGACTCAGCAGGGAAAGGCTCTTGCTGCCAAGCCTGATAATCTGAGTTCAATCCCCAGGACCCACATGGTAGAAGGAGAGAACCTCTGTGACAGAAATGGATTGGCTGATTTATTTCTTTAACTGGAATGAATTCATTATCTAAGTTTTTCTTCACAACAAATGGGGAAAAAAGTTCTAGTACATATACCCAGTAAAAACAAAATTTGTAAGATCATTGGATATAGAAACTATTTTGTACTATGTACATCTAAGAAATATAAACTGAAACACAGCATAAATCAATTTAATAGCCAAGGAAATTAAATGAGGCTTTAAATATTTCTAATTTTTTATCTATCTGTTCTGTTTTGGGGTTTTTAGTGTGCTTTGTGTTTGTCTGTTCTCACTAGGTAGGCTTGGCTGGCCTGAAACTCTCCATATAGAACAGGCTAGCCTCAAATTCACAGGACTCCTCCTGCTTCCGTTTTCACAGTACTGGGATTATAGACAGGAATGAGCCACCAAGCTCAGCTTTTCAGATCTATTTTCTGATTACTAATGGTTCCAAATAAAACTTAAGACCCTGCCCTGGAATACCCAAGAGCTAAAGGGGACTCAAGACAAGCACACAGAGCTCTAGTGCCCTGTATCAGAAAACGTGCGTGGACTGGAGTGCTAATGGGATCATCCTGGCATTCCCAAAACCGACTGAGGAATCTAGTTTGATTCCAACATTCACATAAACATTCCTAACCTCAATACTTGTCCATTTTGCTGACATGTACAGCAAACACTCTGCATGTCCTTATCCTGCTAGATCCTATCTTTTGTTAGATGTAATCAATACATGTTCCCATAACAATGAAAAAAATTATTTTCTACAGAAATAATTCAAATAACCAAGGCTGGTAAGATGGCTCAGTAGGTAAAGGTGTTTGTGCACAAGAGCTTGGCAATATGAGTTCGGTCCTAGAAACACACATAGAGGTGAAGGAGAGAACTGACTCCCTGGAGTTGTCCTCTGCCCTCCATACATGAGCCCCCCTCCCATAATAATAAATAAAATTCTGAAAAAGAATTCAAATAACCAAAACAGTTCCATTAAAACAGTTTCTATATCCTTCAGTAATAAATCTTTCTTTAAATAATATCAAAGTGCTGGGCATGGTGGCACATGCCTTTAACCTCAGCACTGGGGAGGCAGAGGCAGGTGGATCTCTGTGAGATCGAGGCTAGCCTGGTCTACATAGTGAGTTTTCCAAGCCAGCTGAGTCTACAGGGAGACCCTGTCTCAAAAACACTAAATAAATAAACAAATAAATAAATATTTTACAATAATAAAAAATAAAGTTTGGGGCTAAAAAAGAATAATATACTTTAAAAATTGCTTTATCATAGTTTTTATAAGTGTGTTTTATCAATTAAAGTATATCTGGAAAGACATTTTCAACTATTTCCTTGTTCCATTTACTTTCTGAACACTAAACTTTGTTTTATCTGATGCTAATATAGCTGTATCCATCTCATGAAACAGAAACAGAATAGTCACTCAAACATCCAAATACTTTTTTAAAAGTTTTATTTTTTTTATTTTATGTGTACAAGTGTATTGTCTGCCTGTGTGTAGGTGCACCCTTGTCATGCAATGCCCGCGGACTCAGAAGAGGGTGTTGTATTCCCCTGGAAATGGAATTACAGATGGTTGTTAGCTGCCATGTGGATGCTGGGAATTGAACCCAGGTCCTCTGCAAGAGCAGTCAGTGCTCTTAACCACTGAGCCATCTCTCCAGTCTCCCAAATACTTTCTTAAAACTGATACAAGGATCAATCCTTCACATCAAGGAAATTTTTTTGAAAATTTCTTAGTGAAACTAAGAAACAGTAATATTTTGTAAAATAAATGCTTTAACAAACACTGGGTAAAGAAATGAATACTAAATTTTGCTAGAGGAATCAAGGAAGGTTTTTCTTAAAAAGGCCCCCTAAATGTTCATCTGTTCAGTAAAGAAGGAAATCGTGTATGTAGGACTGAAGTGACAGAAAACAGATATGGTGGCTGGAGTGCAGTAGAATGAAGGTGGATATGTGGGATGTACAGACAGGAACCAGAATATGGAAAGCTTCAGATAAACTTTCATCCTGTGTAGCAGAAACTCTCAATCTTTTTTTTTTAACTGTACACATTAAGGATGAGACCTACTCACAACAGGTATACCTGTGATCTGTTCTAATAATAAAATAAATTGAAGATAATATGAATCCCTGGATCTCTTCTATTCTTTCATGCCACACCCTCCCAGTTATAGTTATTCCATCCCTTTTTCTCTCTAAAAGAACTTATATGAATGCAAATGAGACTGATTTTAGAAAATCAGTTTAAAAGAATTCAATCCAATGTCTGCAGAGATGGATTGTTCAAGGCCCGACTGTTCCAAGCTCGGGTATAACATAACTGTTCCAGGAATGGTGTTCCAAGACTGGCTGTTCCAGGTCTAGATGCTCTAAGTTGGGTTGCTCCAGATCTAGTTGCTCTACATTAGAAGATTTCTACTTGTGATCACCAGGCATCCCCGGTAATAGAGCAGAGGCCTAGGTATTCTTCAGCAGAAGCCCTTATGTGGGTCATGCTTTGGTACACTTTGGCTAGCTGCTATTCTGTTATCTCTTACATTTTGGTGTCTGTTTGTAGCTAAGGTTCAAAATGATGGAAAGTTCTTCCATCTGCTATAAGCTTAGGTATTTCTGTCTCTGAAACCTATCACTGAGTGCATACAGGCAAGTTTCAGAGAACACAGTGCTGATCTTCTGTTTCTTGACCTGGACTTCACTGTCTTCCTTATTCACTGTGCTCTTCTCTATAGAAAAAAGTAGCTTTTCTTTGAGACTGGGAAGTATCGGCTATCCTGAATAAGCAGTCCATGAAGGGACAAAGAGGAAAGGATACTCTGCATGGGACATCTCAGCAGAGGACATTTACAAGGATGGTTTTTCTTTAGGTCCATAAATCACAAACATCGGGAGAGTTCCTATAATGCTTTGGAATAAGGCTGGCTTTGAGAACAAACCAAATCCAGTTTCATGTCATTGAAGATAGAGAAGAAAAATCAAAGAACCAGAATGTAAAAAAGACTGTGGCTTTAAGACTTAACCATCTACATGAAAAGATCTTAGAAATATATGAGATCACATGCAGAAATGGCAGAACACAAAATGAGTCACCTCCGCAGTAATAGGAAGCAGCCATCCCAATCTAGCCTATCACTCAATCTAAAGCTATTTCTTTTTGCTATTTTCTTCTCTGTCATCCTTGACACTCCTTTATGGTTCTTACTACAATTTATAATTATCATTTGTTTGATAGTTTGTTCATCAACTCAAAAAGCTGTTTCCTAATGGAAGGGTCCTTGTCAGTTTTGGTTACCACTAAATGTCCAACATAAGCAAGTGTTCAACACCCATTTGTTGGGTAAGTATACATGGACTTACTTTCCACACCCTTGCAACTCTGACAGTGCATGCCCTTAAACACCACCACCCACCCACCTCCCACCCCTCAGCACTCAGGAGGCAGATGAAGGCAGAGCTCTGTGAGTTTAAGGCCAACCTGGTCTACACAGTAAGTTCCAGGCCAGCCAGGGTGACATATTGAAACTCTGTCTCAAAATAAAAAACACAAAAACAAACCAAAAAAAGAACAACTACGAGGTGTCAAAATATCTGAATCTTACATGGTCAGAGAAAAAAGACTTGAAGCAAAGAACTAAAAGATCTGGACTTAAGTTTCAGTCTGATTACAGGATACTAAAGCCCAAGATTTACATTATTACGGATGATCACAAGGTCTAAGATAGGGCTATGGATAGATGGCTAAGATGAAGAGGGATGAAAGTCTTTAAAGGGTCATCTACCAAGCCGGGCATGGTGGTGCATGCCTTTAATCCCAAGCAGAAGCAGGTGGATTTCTGTGAGTTTGAGGCCAGCCTGGACGACATAGTGAGTTCCAGGCCAGTTGGGGCTACTGAGAGACCCTGTCTCAAAAAGACAGAAAAAAAAAGGGGAGGTCATCTTCCTAACTTAACACTAAACTTCCAAAATACTATTCAGAATTGTAGTAGACAGAGGAGCACTTCAAATGGCAGATTTCAAAACTGAGGTAGGGGAGGGCTAAAGCAAAAATCAAGCTTAGAATATAGAATTTTTCAATCCTTTCCTCATGATCCTAGGCATGGTCCTAGGAACCAGGTTGTTAGCAATCACAGCACCTTCACAGGAGCAAGATACTTACTTCACGAGTATGAACCAAACTGTAGAAGTACTATATGGCTTTTTTTTTTCTCTCTGTCATTTGGAAGCAATGAATACTCCCTCAAATTTTTCTACATAATTCCCTAGTACCATAAAAATAAGCTTGTTTAATAAACATAAAATCAGAGTAGGGCTAGGCATGGTGGCCTACACCTCTAATCCCAGCACTCAAGGCAGAGGCAAGGAGCTATCTGTGAGTTCAAGGCCAGCCTGGTCTACAAAGTGAGTTCCAGGCCAGCTGAGGCTACAGGGAGACCCCATCTCAAAAGGACAAAAAAAAAATTAAAGTAGGAAAATAAGCAGATAAGGAGGTGTGGTAGAGAGCTAGGGAAATACTTCAGTTGGCAAAGTGCCTCTGTTGGGCAAGTACCAGGATCTGAGGTCAGATCCCAGAACTCACATAAAAATCCAGGCATGTGTCTGGAGAGATGGCTCAGTGGTTAAGAGCACTGGTTGCTCTCCCAGTGGAACAGGGTTTGGTTCCCAGCATCCACATGGTGGCTAACAATCATCTGTATCTGTAACTGCAGTTCCAGGGGACCCGATGCCCTCTTCCAGCCTCCTCAGTCATTGCATGCACAAGCGCACTTACGTACATGCAGGCAAAACA